GGCGGGAGTGGGATAGTGGACATGGGTGTGGGAGGAGGGAGGGCGGGCCAGCCTGCCCAGGCTGCACATAGAGCCCCGCCCATTTCTCACGCCTGTTTCCTTATTTGGAGCATGCTGTGGTTGGGTTCTGTCCACTATGTACACCCACAGATCCGAGCCTTGTCCCATCCTCACCATCCTCATGTCTCAGACCCGCTCAAGCCCATTATTACAGTCACTGCGCAGTCCCCCCTGCACATCCTCCTCTCACTGACCCTCCACCCTCTTCCCAGACACTGACCCCTCCTGACAACATGTCCAGTGAACCACCCTTGCCTCTAGGAGCATCCTAATGGCACTTTCTCCAGGACAGATGTGTTGGTTCGGCTGACTATGGGACACTGACTGCTCCCTGCAGACACCACAACTCAGAGGTGTCGATTCTTCTATCACGAACGAGGGAGCTCTGGAGTCCTCGTAGGAAGACGCTGCACTCTGATCCCGAATGTTCTCAGCTCAAATCGGCCAGCTGCTCCATGGGAGAAGAATGAGCAATCTCTTCCATGCAATTAACTGCTTCTGAAAACCCACGGGGGTCAGGGTCCAGCTGTGGGTCAGTTCCGAACCCACAGTACTCAACAACAGTGAACAAGTATGTCGGCTTTTAGATGCATATCAAGCAAGGCTGCTCTAGTACACGTCAGTCTTTAAACCATGCCATGAGGTCTTTGACAGTAGTTCAGATGGCCCCGCTGGTGATGATGACACCTTGACTGCATGGTCACTTCTAGCTGGAAAGACACCTATCTTCCCACAAGCAATTCAAGGTCGAACACAGGTGCTCTGGACTTGGTCTCAGACCACTGCATAAAAGAAGTCACACGAATTCTCGAGGGAGAAGGGAGAAAATGCATATAAAATTATCATCCCACTGGATTGTCATCTATCCAGCGTGCAATGCACTGTCAGGTGCCATCTGGCTGGCTCCAAGTCTTAGGACCACGGTGTCCAACAGAGCAAAGCCCTTCCAGAGCCTGCACCATCATCACCATGCCCGTCACGCTCACGTCCACTGTGCAGCCCCCAAGGCAGCCAGCCCATGGTGTTGAAGGTCTGGCCACTTTGCCACCAGTCCTTTTCCAGTGGCTGGTCCTCCTGATACACACCACGTCCAGCCGTGCAGACAGCCACGCATCCTTGCCACTAAGGAGCACTGGCTACAGCACCCCCATCCTGTCCCCTCCCGGGCACACTGTGTACACTGACGGCAGAACAGCAACCCGCGTCCTCCCTCCCAGCCAGAGCACGGGGCAGCTGGGCGGTACCCACGTGTTTCTCACATAGGCACCTCACTGGCACACTGCCTGCCTGCAGCAGGGCCTGCACCCAGGAGGTCCTGACTGAAAGCTTTTGGTGCTAACTGGAGAAGGTCCAGGTGAGATAAAGACTAACACTGGACTGTTAACTGAGAGGCTGGAGGTGTCTCTGATGAAAGGTCTGAGGATTAGAGACAGGAAATCCAGGGACTGTACACACGGGGGTGAACAGCTGTGCTCTGACGTCCAGGGTCACCTGAGCAGGTGGGATGAGAAGGAGTGGGGCTGGGGCTCTCCACCGTCCTCCACCCATCACAGTCTCCATCGCCTCCCCACCTGTCACAGCCTCCACCCCACACCTCCCCTTTCACAGCCTCCACACTGTGTTCCCACCCCTCACAGCCTCCACCCCACTCCCCACCCATCACAGGCCCCACCCCACTCCTCCCCATCACAGCATCCACTCCGCTCCTCCCCCGTCAAGTCCTCCACCCCGCTCCTCCCCCATCCCGGCCTCCACCCCGGGCCCATGCTGGATGACACCCAATGGGAGAGGAATCAGACATGGCTCTGGCTCAGGCCCAGTGATCTATTTCTGGCGCTGAGCTGAAGCGTGGGCTGGGAAGCCAGGGGCAGCGTGCTGACAAGGACAAGATTATTGGAGCAAAGAAAACAAGTCAATTAGCATCACACCTGCCCCAGCTCTGTCGGCACCAGTTCCCAGTCCTCCCAGGGCGCCCACTTCTAGGTTCTGGACAGAGGAGGACATGCTGGGGACACTCCTCCTAGCCTCAAGGGGGAGAACAGCTAGAGGGGTCCCCAATGGCTCCATGGTGCCCCATCTATTGGACAGAGGACTGCACCCCATATGGATGGAGACCTCTGCCCAAAGCACCCCATCCAGGTGGACAGAGAACTGTGCCCACAGCGCCCCCAACCAGGTGGACAGAGAACTGCATTCCATCTGGATGGAGAGACATGTGCCCATGGCACCCCATGCAGGTGGACAGAAAACTGCACCCCATCTGGATGGAGACCTGTGTCCACGGTGCCCCCATGTGTATGGAGGTAGAACTGTGCTCATGGCACCCCCATCAAGGTAGGTGGAGAACTGCACCCCATCTGGATGGAGACCTGTGCCCAC